AATCAGATCACATCAGTCTCTACACAGCATGATACGGACATTTTTAAAAGTGGTAACCTAGGATCAAGGTATCCTGGTAATTAAGTGCCATTAAGATTTAAAGCAACATTAGATCATTATTTACAATTGCACCAGGGCAGCCAATGTGTTGCTGGACTATGACTGCATTCAGATGTGGAGGGGTTTATTGCATTAGTTTACTGGTTAAAATGTTAGCACTTCAGTCCCAAATTTCTAACATTATTTTTACTGAGTAGTACCTGTTGCATTCTGGAGCTAGGTTTTGGGTTTTTTATCTATATAACTCCAAGTTGTACTAAATGGTGGGAAACAACAACATGCTAGGATACCACCCCAAATTTCATCTTGATCATGGCTTGATCATGAGAACCATGGGGGAATTAGAACACAAAGCTTCCACTATTTTCCAAATTAATGGGGGGGCGCGTTCTGGAAACAAAGAAATGAGCAAAGTGTTGGTGCTGATCTTTCAAGCCCTAAACGGCCTCAGCCCTGTATACCTGAAGGAGCGTCTCCACCCCCATCATCCAGCCCGGACACTGAGGTCCAGCGCCGAGGGCCTTCTGGCAGTTCCCTCACTGCAAGAAGTGAGGCTACAGGGAACCAGGCAGAGGGCCTTCTCGGTAGTGGCACCTGCCCTGTGGAACGCCCTCCCATCAGATGTCAAGGAAATAAACAACTATGTGACTTTTAGAAGACATCTGAAGGCAGCCCTGTTTAGGGAAGTTTTTAATGTTTGATGTTTTATCATGTTTTTAATATTCTGTTGTGAGCCACCCAGAGTGGCTGGGGAAACCCAGCCAGATGGGCAGGGTATAAAGAATAAATTGTTGTTGTTATATTTAAATTTCTGCTAAATTCCACTAGGTTTCCAGTAGTTGCTTTTACTTCATGTGAAAGATCACATTCTGAAGTCTAAGACTCCTTAAGGATAAAGATAAAGAATTCTTAAAAGGCAGGGCAGGAGTCTGAAAGGTGCTCATCAACAGTTAGACTCTGAGTAGGTGACCTGCGTGCCAGTTTTCTAACTATGGTGAAATGTATTCGATTCCTATTCAAATTATAGTATGTAGTTCCAAATTTGCATCTATACATATAAATCAGTGTGTGCAAATTTTATGCAGATTTGTGTTGGGGAAGGAATGCATTTCCACTTTCGAATGTTTATTTATTGATTTGGTTATCTTTTCATCCTTCATCAGAATATACAATTACAGAACAAATAAAACATCTAAACACAAGCAAAACCTGCCCACGGAGTCTTCAAATGAAAATGCTACTGGAACACAACTGCAAACTAGCTTGTCATTACATTACCACACCACAGTCCAACTTTGCTACTTCTGTTTATTTAAAAGTATATCTATACTTCTCTTTATATCAAAAGATACCCAAAGCAAGTTACAACAATGAAACATAACAAAACAATAAGAAGTATAAAACTCTTAATACAATAATTCAAATTAGAAATACGTCAAAATCCTAACAGAGTCAAACCTTGGATCCCAAACGCCTCCGTTTCGGAACGTTTTGGCTCCCAAACATTGAAAACCCAGAAGTAAATGCTCCGGTTTTTTTAACATTTTTCGGAAGCCAAACGTCCAATGCGGATTCCGCTGAGTGCACGAAGCTCCTGCAACGAATAGGAAGCCGCGATTTGGTTGTCGAACATTTCAGGCTTCCGGAATGGATTACGTTCGACAACCGAGTTTTGACTACCGTAAATGGTTAATGCATGTTTAGCTTCTGGGAGGAAGTTGTTCCACAGGGCTGGTGCCATTACCATTAAGACCCTCTTCCTGGTGGGCACGAGGTGGATCTCCAAGGCCTTTGGCCCCACCAGGAGGACTTCTGCTGCTCACTGCAGTGAACAGGAAATCTATATGGGGGTCACCCATCATCTTCTCTGTAAATTTTTGACAGCTAAAGAGGTGAGTAAGTGAAACCTACCCCCTCATGGTATCTATATAACCAGAGAAACTTCCTCCTGCTTAAGTTATCTTGTCAGGAAAAATGCTGTTCCCCCAGCCACCCAGCACACAGAAATTCAAAACCCAGAAAATTTTTTCAAAAAAAAACAACATGGCCCAATGGTCACAGAAAACCATAAAAATTCAAAAAAAAAAAACCCCCACACAAGCTCCCAGATTCCTGCAAACCCCTCCCCAGCTGTTCCCCCAGCCATCCAGCACACAGAAATTCAAAACCCAGATTTTTTTTCAAAAAAACAACAACATGGCCCAATGGTCACAGAAAACCATAAAAATTCAAAAAAACCCACACAAGCTTCCAGATTCTTGCAAACCCCTCCCCAGCTGTTCCCCCAGCCACCCAGCACACAGAAATTCAAAACCCAGATTTTTTTTCAAAAAAACAACAACATGGCCCAATGGTCACAGAAAACCATAAAAATTCAAAAAAAACCCACACAAGCTCCCAGATTCTTGCAAACCCCTCCCCAGCTGTTCCCCCAGCCACCCAGCATACAGAAATTCAAAACCCAGATTTTTTTTCAAAAAAAACCAACATGGCCCAATGGTCACAGAAAACCATAAAAAAATTTAAAAAACCACACAAGCTCCCAGATTCTTGCAAACCCCTCCCCAGCTGTTCCTCCAGCCACCCAGCACACAGAAATTCAAAAATTCAAACCCAGATTTAAAAAAAAAAAAAAAAAATGGCCCAATGGTCACAGAAAATCATAAAAATGCAGAAAAAAACCACACAAGCTCCCAGATTCTTGCAAACCCCTCCCCAGCTGTTCCCCCATCCACCCAGCACACAGAAATTCAAAAATTCAAAACCCAGATTTTTTTTTTAAAAAAATAAACATGGCCCAATGGTCACAGAAAATCATAAAAATGCAGAAAAAAACCACACAAGCTCCCAGATTCTTGCAAACCCACAACCAAGTCCTTGAATTCCAAACACCCAACCCAAAATCCAAAAACACAAAAAAAACTTTAAAAAGTTTAACTTACCAAACAGCTGCAAAAGAAGTTTTGGAAAAGCTTCAAAAATCCAGCAAACTCTTTAAAAAGCTCAGAAAGGCCACCACACCGCGTGCAATGTGTTGCTCCTCGAGGTCAAGTCGCAACTGCACCTCTTCCAACAATGCACCCTGGGTTTTAACGGTTTTACGAAAAAGGAAACAAACTTGCAAGACGTTTTCGTCTTGCGAAGCAAGCCCATAGGGACATTCGTCTTGCGAAGCAACTCGAAAATGAAAAAACCTTTCGTCTTGCGAGTTTTTCGTCTTGCGAGGCGTTCGTCTTGCGGGGCACCACTGTATAAGATTGCACTGTTAAATTTCTTCCCTTTAATAATTCTGTATCCGAAAGGAAATGAGCAACAATCATTCTTGGGTCTACGTTTGCCACTTCATCCTACCAGCAACCAGTGTGAACCAGAAGGCTTTTTCTCATTTCTGCCAAGGAACAACTTGATGCTTTGAAGAGCTGCAAAGCGAAAACCTATCTGGACCTCCTTCCCCTCCTGAGCTGATACTTGAATTCTGTTGTTCAGACAGAATGGGCTACACTGGGCAAAATTCATTCTCATTTACATAGGGAATAGCTCTGAGGAAGCCAATAGAATTACAGCGCAGAGAGGAAGAGTTGGACTTGGGGCTAATTGCAGCTCCAGCTGACCCATTTTATGCAGATAAGTGGCATGAGCGAGCCTGAAGATAATTCTTTGATTTCCTTTTTTTCCTTCTACACAAGATCTATAATAATAAGCAAAATAGGCACCAATCTCGCAAAAGATCTGCATCGCCTCCTGGTACAAGGAACCATAATTTGGTGAGGTGTCCCGTCCCTTTGGTGAATCATGTTTAAACATTTTGTTGTTTAGTCACACCGATAATGAGGGGACATAAGAATCACTCAGAAATGAGATAAACACACACCTGCAGGCTCAGAATGGCTCTCTCTCACACACAGCTTACCTCAGCTTTTCTCTCTACATATCCTCTGAATTACCTCTGCTTTAAAAAAAAAAAATTTACTCCTGAGCAAGTTAGCTTGCTGCATCTTTTAAGAAATAAATAAATTGCAGAAATGGGAAATATGGACAGTCCCTGCTAGTTGGAAAGTGCAGGTTTTTATTTTTTAAAAATGGCACTGCATTATCCTACTAATTCTGGATATAACACCTTTTTAATACTCCGTTGGAGGTCAGGTCCATGGTTTCCATAACTGTCTGATAATTGGCAATTATATTGTATTGGCTTTTCTGGAAGGAACGCCACTTGGATGACGCCATTTTCTGCAGCTGTTGTCGCTGCATAATTGTTTACAAGTTTAGTCTAGAGAACCATGCAAAACTCTTGGCGCTAATAAAGCCAGCCTTGCTGCAGCATGCAGAAGAAAACAGAGAGCTCCTCCATGTGTGATGCAACAGCTCATGGCACTGGAAATAGCAGGGGCAGTAGACCAGGTGTCAGGGACTGGCGGGATGAGGAAGATTGGTGGGAGCTGCCCACCCCAGAGCCCCCCAGGGAGGGCACAGAAGATGACAACTTAGATCCCGGATCCTGGTGGTGGGATACTGGGTGCCACACCTCAGAGAAGGGGACAAACTGGGAGAAACTAGAAGCAGAAATCTTGAGGGATCGTGAACAAGCAGAAGCTGGCAGGTGGTCCACCACAAGGAAGGGTAATGGTGTTTCTAGTTTGGATGCTGGCTCTGACAGAAATGACAGAGAGGAGAGAGACCCAGCATCTCTCCTGCAGCACCAACAGGACAGCCTCTCTGCTGAAGGCTCTCCAGCCCCACTGACTCCCAGAACACGAAGAAAAAGAAGAAGAAGAAGAGATTGGATTTGATATCCCGCTTTATCACTACCCTAAGCAGTCTCAAAGCGGCTAACATTCTCCTTTTCCCTTCCTCCCCCACAACAAACACTCTGTGAGGTGAGTGGGGCTGAGAGACTTCAGAGAAGTGTGACCGGCCCAAGGTCACCCAGCAGCTGCATGTGGAGGAGCGGAGACCCGAACCCGGTTCCCCAGATTACAAGTCTGTCGTTCTTAACCACTATACCACACTGGCTCTCAAGGACTGGAATGATTATTGACCGAAGCCATTGTTCAGGGATGATTCCATATTTGTTGATAAGAGTAAATGGTTGAGCTAGGAGTTCTGCCCACCAGTCTATGAATGTCTTAAATAATTCTGTTGGTAGACCACGAAGGATATTACGTGTTGCTGAGCAATGAACCAGACAGGCAGAAAGAGAGAGAGGTGCATTCTGCTCACCGTAGCAGAAGATTACAGAGGAGGAGCTCTGACTCAGAAGGCTAGAGAGCAAAGGAGAGACTGCACACCAGTTTGAGTAACTTCTTCATGGGGTTGCCTTTATGAGCCTCTTCCCCCCCCCCCTTTCCTTAATAAAGAAACTAACTGCAGGCTAGTTTCAGGAAGTGCAAACAAGGCAAACTCACCTTTAAATGAGAACTGAATCAAATTTCTCCTCCATCCCTCACTGCAGGGCTCACTTGGATGAATGTTTGAAAACACTAATGTCCTGGTTGTTTACTTCCCCATGTGGTGTCCTTTATGTCAGCCTTATCTGGAGGAAAGATGAGGGAGTCAGCAGTAAATTAGTGGGGAGACTCCTCCCGCTCTGAACAGTACTTAAGTCAGGCTGCTGAGGCTCCTTGGAGTGCAGTTAAGGCCAGCAGCTGGAACTTTATTGCCTGTTAACTTTCTTTTTTCTCTGTGCTTATGCATTTAAGTCTAGATTGTTTCTTTCTTTTTTAATACCGGATTTATGGCTGCCTTCTTGAGTTGTGTCCTATTTGATATGTCGATATGCCTTGTGAACTGGTTCTTCTTGCATCCCCACCCTACCATTTTGTATTTTGAGAATGGCTTTGGACACAAATCATTGTGGACAGACAGCATATGGGCTAATAGCCGTAAATAAATAAATAAATAAATAACCCCAGCCAATGAGCCAACCAACCAAGGGTGGATCTAAACACAAGAAAAAATAATCCCCACTATAAATAAGCCAGAAATTAAATCATTATAACAAAATAATAAAAAACGCTATGTGAAATCACATCGAAAAGTTTTGGGCTCTACAGCGCCATCTGGTGTTGCATGTTTATAACGCATCCAAAGTGCTGTTGCAGTAGTTGGGGGTGGAAGCCACTTTTATGTGGCTTCAAGCTACTGTAATGTTAAAAGACTCAGCAATCCAAAGCAGGATCGGTCAAGTGAGGCCATCATTTAGGCCCCATGCACACTAGCGCTGGGAGTTACCTGGTTTTCAACATTGTGATATATCACCAGCTAAGCATCGTGATATACTGATATATGTAGAGACATTGACTGGCTTCAAACACACACACCACAATTCGCGATATATTGCCAGGTCAAAAATTATGGAACTGATATCATGATATGGACTGGTTTTGGGTGATATATCACCCAGCCCTAACACACATCATGATTTGCAAAATATTGCCACATTAAAAATTATGAAACCAACATCACAATATGGACTTCAAACCAGTTTTGGACTTTATATTGATATACCCGTATTTTTCGCTCTATAAGACGCACCAGACCATAAGACGCACCTAGTTTTTGGAGGAGGAAAACAAGGGGGAAAAATATTCTGAATCTCAGAAGCCAGAACAGCAAGAGGGATCACTGCGCAGTAAAAGCAGCAATCCCTCTTGCTGTTCTGGCTTCTGGGATAGCTGTGCAGCCTGCATTCGCTCCATAAGACGCACACACATTTCCCCTTACTTTTTAGGAGAGAAAAAGTGAGTCTTATAGAGCAAAAAATACGGTATTTCCCAATCCTAATCCACACTATACATTTAAAGCAGTATCATAACACTTTAACAGGCATGCCTCCCCCCCCCCCAAAAAAAAATCCTAGAAGTTGTACTTTGTTAAGGGGTGCCCTGACAGGTTAAAAACATGCATGCACATCCATTTCAAGGATGAGAAAAGCCTGCCACAAAGGTTGCCACATCTGCTTCTAGAGAAGCCGCCAATAGACAAAAATCAGAAGGCGGAGCCCAGTGTCCTCCTCTGCTTTTGCTTGTGTCAAGAAAAAGGTGGCAACTTTGCTTAGGGAAATTTTAATTAATGGGCTATGTTAGTGCCTGTGATACTGAATTTTACAATCCCTGCAGAGAAGAACGGATCAAAAATAGAATAGTGATAAAGTGTTAAAAAAAAGACAAGAACAAACTGAGGGAATCTTGAAGAAGAATTAAATGACAGTTATCCAATTGGAGAATAATGCAAAAGAATAAGATCCTCGGTTAGTGAAAGTCAGGGATGAAAATCCCCAGTCCCATCAGCCCCAGCGCTGATAATTATGGTGGTTAATGTTGTGGTTCAACATTGGGGAAAGGGGCATCTTACCTATCTGTGGTGTAAGTCACTAGAATTCCACCCATATTCATATATCTATATATGCCCTTCACCTGGGGCCACATCTTTCTGAAATCATTCCTATGCCCTTGTCTGGTACCTTGGCACACAGGCCTAATGGTGGGAAGCAGGAATAAGAAACCAAGCTATCCAGAAAAAGAAGCAACCAAGTATAGCGTTGCTCAAACCAGCACTGCATCTTCTTCCAGTGTATGGTGTAGGGCCCAAGTACCATCTTGAGGAACATAGAAAGCTGCTTTATACTGGGTCCTTCTAGCTCAGTGTTGTAGACTTTTCACTGACTGGGAGTAGCTCACCAGGCTTTCAGCTATGGCTCTCCCAGTCCTACTTGGAGATGTGGGAGACTGAACCAGGACCTTCTGGATGCAAAGCAGATGCTTTCCAACTGAGCTATGGTCCTTCCCCTAAGGAAGTCCTACAGCCAGATTCCATTTTGTTTGCAAGGAATCATGACAGCTTGCAAGACTTAGGTATATAATTTGTATAGCCATAGCTTTTTGTGAGGTTATGAAAGACTGTGGTTGAAAGCTTGTATGGCATACCCAAAGGGTAAAGGTTTGGGATGAAGGCCCACCACAAACTCTCCTACTTAGTGCTTCCTTTGCAGGTTGCTGCCATTGTCACAGATCTTTTCATTCTGCATGTGCTGTGTTTGAGCTAAACAAATGTAACATTGCATCAGTGAAAGTCCCTGGTGTTTTGAGGTGGAACATATCGGTGTTGAACGGCCAAAAAAGTGAACATGTATAATTTTTTAAACTACTATAGCCCAATTCACCACCGGCAGAGAGCCATGAGAGTTTGTTTGTGTGTATGCATGCACGCACTCACAGGTCATCTTGTCCATAAGATCTGCATTTTAAAAAACTTTTGCTATACAATCAGGAAAAAAAACCTGAGTCAATAATGTTATTGCTGTAATATCAAAGTGTCAATATCAGCATCTGTGCTAGGAAAAGAAAAATGTTGCCTTCGCTCTGACATTTTGTTCCTTAGCCCTTCCTTAGACTGTTTGTGGCAGCCAATAATGATGTGAGATAGTATTGTGAGCCTGCCCCCATTGGGAAAGGGGGCAGGCCAGCCATAGGGGAAGGGACGTAACTCAGTAGTAGAGCATCTGCTTTGCAAACACAATGGTCCAGCTTCAGTTGCTGGCCTCTCCAGGTAGGGCTGAGAAAGACTCTTCTATTAAACCCTGAGAGTTGCGGCCAAGCAGTATAGACAATACTAAACTAGATAGATTAATGATCTGGTTCAGCATAAAGCAGCATCCAGTTTTCCTATGTATTGTTGTTGTTGTTTAGTCGTTTAGTCGTGTCCGACTCTTCGTGACCCCATGGACAAGAGCACGCCAGGCACTTCTGTCTTCCACTGCCTCCCACAGTTTGGTCAAACTCATGCTGGTAGCTTCGAAGACACTATCCAACCATCTTGTCCTTTGTCGTCCCCTTCTCCTTGTACCCTCCATCTTTCCCAACATCAGGTTCTTTTCCAGGGAGTCTTCTCTTCTCATGAGGTGGCCAAAGTATTGGAGCCTCAGCTTCACAATCTGTCCTTCCAGTGAGCACTCAGGGCTGATTTCCTTAAGAATGGATAGGTTTGATCTTCTTGCAGTCCATGGGACTCTCAAGAGTCTCCTCCAGCACCATAATTCAAAAGCATCAATTCTTCAGCGATCAGCCTTCTTTATGGTCCAGCTCTCACTTCCATACATCACTACTGGGAAAACCATAGCTTTTACTATACGGACCTTTGTTGGCAAGGTGATGTATATCTGGAATCCACTGCTGTGTGCTGTGGCTTGACAAGTGAATGCATGTAATAAAAGAATGAGCAATGAACTGCTATGTCTGAAGAAAAGCAGGGGAGTCTAAGTCAGGCGCTAACTACCCACTTCCCTTCATTGTTTACTGCAGATGAAAGTCAAGTGGGATGGACCAGAATGTCAGACTAGATGGACCAATGGTTTTACTCAGTACAATGCAGCTTCCTAGGTTCCCATGATGCAGCTGGAGATCAACAAGCATCTCCTCTCATTGGACAGGGCTTTGGGCGTGAAGATTTTTCCTAGCTTCTTTTTTTTTACTCAGCACCCAGACCAAAGAGAAACGGTGATTGAAATTTTTAAGGCCTCCAAGGCTGAGTCATAATAAGGTAATAAATAAAAGACAGCTTCGATAGGTAGAGAGAGAAGTCTGATTCTTCATTCTCCTGAAAATCAAAGGTTCATAATTTCTAGTTTGTTAGCATGCATTCTGTCAACATCACTAAGAAGATTCTAGAAGCACAGACTCTAGTGCGGAATTATTCATATCACGTCCAGAAACCTGATAGATTCACTGTTCTGATTGGGTGTCTTGTAATTATAAGTGTGCACCGGCAGCCTACTGTAATTTTCTGTTGTATTTCAAATACTTCCAAGGCATGTTTTACATTTTCTCCCCTGTACATTTGACTTTGAAATTGGGGAAGGGAAACGATGCTAAAATGTGGTGTTTTCTTCACTTTCTGTTGGGTTGATGCACGTTATTCATGAAGCTTAATTTTGATGAATGACTTAAATACACTTTGGAAATTACCATTGCTTTCGCCTTGCCTAGCTAAGAGCTTGCTTGACTCTAAAGCATTTCTCAAAACATTTGCAAAACTGTGATTCTAGCTGTCTCGAGAACTTGAATAAATGATCCAAACGACTTATGAATAGTCAGTGCAAACATCCAAATTTGCCATTTTGCTCTGCTCATTTGCTGTTCTCTCTTGTGTCTTGGCAAATGTCGCAGCCTGCTTCTCTGCTGCAAATGCTTCAGACGAAATGCTTCCAGCGCTTAGTGCCAGTTCTTCTTAATGGTTGCAGTATCTTTACAATACAGGGACACACATCATAGGCGTGTTCTATTTTTAAACCCTGCATATTTCAGCCACGCTGCAAATAGCACAATGGATTAAAAAAAATGCTGCCATTGATTCAGTTAATTATATGAGCTATTCTCAAACAGAATCTACAGCTTGTATAAAATATTCGTGGGCCTGTGACTCATTTTCATCGTACTCTTTATCGACTCACTGCTGCCTCACTGCTGTTGACGGCTTCCACAGGTCTGTGTCCCAGAATCTCTACTGATGGGGAGGGAACCTGGAGCTAATCCAAAAAGGAACAGTTTTGCTAATTGATTCTTATCTTGCCTAGCCTTGCAGATGCCCCAAAGTGCCAGAAGTACATAACACAGTGGTCCTGGTCCAGAACTGTGAAGCACTTGGGAACTGATCTCTGCCAAGTCATTTCGAGGGGAGAAGGAGTGGGATGGATAAACTTTGTTTAGAGCACTTTTCCCTCTTCAGCACCACAAAGTGATCAGTGCACACAGAGCTCCCAGGATTGACTGTGCATTCAGAAGTTACTCCTTGGGCGGAATAAATATGTATTCCCCTGCCATGGTAGCATCTTTTTGTACTGACAGCATGACAGAGCTTGCTGTAGATGGGAGTGTCTCTGAGAGGTGATAAAAGTCATGCTCCCCTGTGCCTAGGATTTATTTATTTTTAATGACGTAGTTGCCTATTACACCATGAATATCACTTGTAGTCAACGTGGAATATTTTCCCCAAGACTCTACAAGACCTTCTCTGGGTAGACAGGTTTCCTGCACCATCTCCCTATGGAAAAGTATTATATGCTTGACAGTAAAATGATTTTAATCAGTTAAAAAGCAAGTTGGTTAATTGCCTACATTAATTCTCCACCCTAAACCAAACACATGCTCATGCGGAAAATAAAGATTCGGCAAGAAGCATCATCATAACTTTCATAAATTTCATGAACAAACAACTGTTCATGTTTCTTCATCCTAGACCCAAGACAAATTCTCACAAATTCTTTGCTAACTCCACTACTGGGCAATTATGTCCCTTGTTTGTGATTATGACTGTGTTTCAGGGCAGCTTTTTCATCTATTTGAGGGCAGAGCTAGAGTCCATTGGCAGAGCACATGTTCAATCCTAGGTATATCTAGATAGGGTTGAGAAACTCTGAAATCCTTGAGAACTTCATCCAGTCATTGTAGACCAGGGTTCCCACGCTGTGTCCATTGACCACCAGTGGTCCACAAGCTTCATTTGGTTGATTTGCAGCATGTCTGTAAAAATACAGAAAATTCATAAAGCATAATGCATTAAAAATGCTACAACAGGCAGAAAAATCATTAAGTGGTCCACCAAGACCCTCAGCAACTTTTCAAGTGGTCCATGGGAAGTTTGGGAGCTACTAGTGTATACAACACTGAAGGAGGTCCGGTGAGTGACACAACCATGGTTCACTGTACACTACTGTGTGACAAACCAAGTACTTGCTTGACTTTTTAATTTTTGCATCATTAGTAGGATTAAATGGTAGGGAGCACTCTCCTAAACTCAGTTCCTTTCCCCATATTCTAAGTTTAATACCCTGAGGAGATTTCTTCATGAACGCTTTAGTGGTACCTCGGGTTTCGGGACGCGGGTGGAACTGTGGGTTAAACCACAGAGCCTAGGACTTGCCGATCAGAAGGTCGGCGGTTCGAATCCCCGCGACGGGGTGAGCTCCCGTTGCTCGGTCCCTGCTCCTGCCAACCTAGCAGTTCAAAAGCATGAAGTGCTAGTAGATAAATAGGTACCGCTCTGGTGGGAAGGTAAACGGCGTTTCCATGCACTGCTCTGGTTCGCCAGAAGTGACTTAGTCATGCTGGCCACATGACCCGGCAGCTGTACGCCGGTTCCCTCGGCCAATAAAGCAAGATGAGAACCACAACCCCAGAGTCGGTCACGACTGGACCTAATGGTCAGGGGTCCCTTTACCTTTACCTTGGGTTAAGTACTTTATTCGTTCTGGAGGTCCGTTCTTAACCTGAAACTGTTCTTAACCTGAAGCACCACTTTAGCTAATGGGGCCTCCTGCTGCTGCCGCACCGCTGGAGCATGATTTCTGTTCTTATCCTGAAGCAAAGTTCTTAACCTGAAGCACTATTTCTGGGTTAGCGGAGTCTGTAACCTGAAGCGTATGTAACCCAAGGTACCACTGTAATAGCATTGTGGGCTTTTCACAATATACCTCCATCCTGAGATGGCCACATAATTCATATTTAAAATAAGTCAGCTGCTGAATGTTGAAGGAGTTTCTCATAGCCCCCACAGCCATGCCCCCCAAGGAGCTCTGTTGATCCTTTCTACACAATAATCAGCTGACAGCCAGAGCATAATGAACTGGCTTCAATCTCTGACTTTGCCGCACAGTATGGAAAAGCTTGAAATCTCATTATCATCTCATTCATTTACCAGAGAAAGAAGAGTTGTCAATTACCCTGTGTCATCGCTCATGCTCTGGGGGTTGGGAAGCCCCCACTGTGCTCGCCTGCATTTCCCCTCCACTAAAACACTAGAAGTAGGGTTGTCTCCTGATTAAATGGACAGCCCTACTTTTCTGATGTCATCTGACTGAAAAATTCATGGATTAATTAGATAAATTGGAATTGGTTGATGGATTAACCAAAGCTTGCATATATTGCACAGGAGGGGGGGAATCATTATAAGGGGGCGCGTTTACTTTTCTTGCAATAGGTATAATTTTAGAAGAAGTATTCTTCCTTCTCTCAGATGTAGGGAGCATGTTTCTTTGAGTATGGTGTTTGACATCAGGAATTGTATAAGCATGTGTATTTTAATATGTTGCTGCCTGATATATCAGGGGCATGTTTTGAGTTGATCACAATCTTTCCATCCATTAATAAAGCATTAATCACCTAAACATTACAGACCTCATTAAAAGGGATCAAGGCTATGTTGTTTGTGAAAATCAGATATTTTGATCCAGCATATCTAGTCCTTGAGAAACATCACAGTGTTGATCCAATACAGGGCTAGCCAGTGTAAAGTCCTTCAAGACCACAGCTTCCATCATTTCTGGTCATTGGCTGGCTGGGGCAGATGGGAGTTGGCATCCACCACATCCACATTGACTACATGTATAGAATAATTAATAATAATAATAATTTTTGTTTATACCCCACCCTCCCCAGCCAAGGCTGGGCTCATATACATGTATATATGTATATGTATATGTATATGTATATGTATATGTATATGTATATGTATATGTATATGTGTGTGCGTTTGTGTGTGCATATACACTGATGATTCCTCAATACATTGCTGAGTAAATAATAACTTCTGCAGAAGCTACATGAATCCGTGTCAGCTGAGAAAACAATTTCATAATTTCCACCCTGATTTCTGGATATAAAAAATTGCATGACATCACCCTGAATATCAAATCTTGTGTTTCTCCATTCACTTGTTCTTGGGAGGGATGTACTAATGCAAGATGACAGTTTGCCAATAAGATTGAATACTGCAGCTGTGTATAGTCTAGGGACAAAAAAACACACAACCTTTTTCTAACACCCATTTTGAAATCCCAATTTTGTTGTAGGCTGTGTGCTTTTTCTCACTCGTTGACAGTATTCAGCACCCTCCAGCACCGTTGTGATGTAAATCACATCATTTACAGGCAGAAGGATAGCACTACAAATCCACTGTGAGTAAATGAATTCAGATTGTGGTTTATAGCAGAGGTTTCATTCTGGTCAGGTTCTCATCATTCTTCGGATGGTGCTGAGCTGCTTCTATCCTTCGGAAAGGGAAGAGAGGCATACGCCTCAGCACCTCCTAACTGTTGGCTGTTGTTTCTGCTACCGAAACCTAAATGACTACCTGAAAGAGAAAGCACCCAAAGGTTTCAAAGATGTCCCTAGGCACTTTCCTGCAAGAGATTCATTCCTAGTTTTAATGAAAATAAACTGCAATGTTCTAATGGGAGGTTTTAATTAGAAAACATGCACATCCTTTCACTTTATTCCCCAGGAACCATGTGTGTCTGAAAAAGAAGAGTGCAGAATGAGAGCATCACTTACGAATACAAAGGAAGGCAAGAATCAAGACCAACTAATTACATGGCCTTACAGTATATTGATGTTGATGTGGATTTCATGGGTAGCAAAGACCCAGTCTCTAATGTTGCTACTCAAGACACATGCAATCTATGCTGACCTCAGTGCCTTATAAAAGGATACTCAAAGTTTATGCCAGTATGAATTAAGGTTGATATACATAGAAGTATTTGCATTTGAGAAGATAAAGGAGATTGTAGTCGATATTATCTGACACGGTAATGCTTCTGTTTGGTATTTGGTTTTTGCAACAGGGCAAGGCTTTTAAAATCTCATAGGGTCACAAAATGGATTTTGAAGATTGGCATCAAAGAAGATGAAACTGACCCCTATACAGTGGCACCTCGGGTTACATACTCTTCAGGTTACATACGCTTCAGGTTACAGACTCCGCCAACCCAGAAATAGTACCTCTGGTTAAGAACTTTGCTTCAGGATGAGAACAGAAATCATGCGGTGGTGCAGCGGCCCCATTAGCTAAAGTGGTGCTTCAGGTTAAGAACAGTTTCAGGTTAAGAATGGACCTCCGGAACGAATTAAGTACTTAACCCGAAGTACCACTGTAGTTGCAAACAGCAGTTAATGAGGAAGCAACTATCACACCATCAGTTACTTCACAACCTGCTATGCTGGGGTTGTAACAAAACTAAGCAGCTCATGTTAAGTGGTCTACAACATACTGCTTCTTGTAAAAAGCAAAACAAAACCTCAGGCAGCCCTTGAAAACAGAGGTTTGGTTTGGAGTGGGTTATTGTTATTCAGAACATAACCCTCTCCCCTATATACATACACACACACATAAACTTCACAAGCTTACAGTCTCACTGGTGGGTTTCTTTCCCTCCTCCCCATCTGGATAAAATGAGAATTTTTGTTCGCATAAGATAAATAGAAATGGAGGATGATTAATGTTGCTGACCACACCAGGAATAGTGTGCAGATTTGTTAAGAGTAAGAATAAAATGCATGCGGTCAACCCAAAGAGACGGAGAAACTGTTCCCGGAGCCCAGCATGTTAAAAATCCATTTGATTTAGTATTTGAGGTGGGGGAGGAAGTCATAAGATTACTTTGAATCAATAGTCCCATTCTTTCGCTCCACACATAGGCTGGATAAGTGGAGGAGGGGCCTTGCTTCTTTGCCCTGTCCTTAACTTGCATTCAGCAGAAGGTCTGAAAGGGGCTCCAATGTATGTCTGGCTGTGATGCACACAGGCTCTTCCACCCAATCAGGAACCTGTGTGATCAGGGCTTTCAGCTGCATACAAACACGCATGCATAGAACCCTAACCCCATCCAGACTTTCCACTGAACGTACAAAGAGTTGGCGGATGAAGCCAATGGAAATGCAGTGATCGGGGACATGATCAGACCACTGAAGGAAGGTCTACAAAGGGCTCTAAATTATAAAACCCTCAACAACTTGGAACCTGTTTACCTACAAGAATGCCTTTCCCCACGTGTGCCCACACAACCACTTTGATTGGCAGAATTGTAATAATAATAATAATAATAATAATAATAATAATAATAATATATTTATACCCCGCCCATCTGGCTAGATTTCCCCAGCCACTCTGGGCAGCTCCCAACAGAATATTAAAACACAATAAAACATCAAACATTAAAAACTTCCCTAAACAGGGCTGCCTGGTTCCCTGTAACCTCACTTCTTGCACTACTACAGGTGCTACATAATACTAAAAACATTCTTGTTTAGGCAAAGCCTACCCAGGTGCTTAGAAAGTTAAGGTAATTTTAATCTCTTTTAGTATTTTAACTTTTGTATGTGTTGAAAGTATGGCTGTGAATTGCTCTCAATTTTATTGTTTTATCTTTATCGTTTTGCAAATCCCTTTGAGTTTATTTTTTTGCAATCAAGTGGGGTATAAATTTCATAACAGAAAGCAAGAAAGAACAAAGACTCTCGTGGCAACTGAAGGACTGTCTGATGAAGTGGATGGGATGCCATGGTTGGTCATTTAAAATTGCCCCAGCTGCAAAGCTCCTTTTGGAGCTTGTCAGATCCATGCCTCAGATAACACATAAAGAGTCCCGACTTTAATGTTCTGAACATCACAGAAAGCGGATGTGTGAAGGAGTAGCAGCCTCACAGCTGAAAGGGAAATGGTATGTGGGAGATGGATAAACTCAGGCTGCAGATTCGACTTGCATGTTCTCCCTGTGGAGGGTGAGGGCTTGAAACGCAATTCATTGACATATAAAACATGAATTGGAGTCCGGCTGTGGTGATAAGAATGTTGAAAGAGCTTGTTGGTCAAACCTGGTGGTCAATCAGATACCTAGGGGAAGTCCTCAAGCAAAACATCAGCTCAATAGCATTCTCCCCCTCATGTTCCCTAACAACCAGCCTTCAGAGCAAAACTGCATCTTGATACTGGAGGTACTGAATAGCCCATGTGACTGGCTGCCCTGTGCTGCATGAATTTATTTAATCCCTTTTTAAAATGGCCCAAACTGTAGCAAATTCTACAGTTTAATTGAGTTCTACTATTGCGCCTCAAGGCCCCAGCACCCACCCCCCAAAATAACTTCACACAGACACCTATTTTAGTTTTAAGTTTTGGGGCAATTTTTTGGCCACAACTTTATTGAAATACAATCACATGAGCAGTATTGGCTTAGGCATTGACTCTCCACTATAACTGATTCCACCTCTCTGGGTGATCATCCAATGGGGTAAACCAAATGAGCAAGCAACGTTGATGCGGACCAACCGAAGCTCACCCCGGGGTTCCTGTGGTCCTGGCATGGCCCTAGCCCCTCAATCGCGCTTCGGACAACATCCAGGACCCCCAGATTCCTTTAACGGAATACCCAGTTCCTGGAGGGGCAGGTGATGGCCACATCTCCCCTCCCCACAATCCAACTGAGCCAATGCCTAACCTCCACCTTACAAGTTGTGATGATTGCCAAGGGGTAGGCAAAAACCAAATGGCTAAAGCCAATCTGCCAAATGGAAAAAATTCCTACCCAGCCCCTGTTCCAAAACAGGCGACCCAAACCAAAGCAAGGCCAAGTGACTCTACCTAAAACTAGGGAGAGTAGGCGGGTGTTCGGCAGAGCGATGCAAGTGCCCCTGCTTGCGTCACGCTGCCGGTTTTAAAGCCCCTGGGATCATGCCACCCGCTGGCGATTGGCTAAAACAGCCTGGCGTGATCCCAGGGCAAAGGCCAGGACTTCCTGCTACTACCCCCCACCAATTTAACACTATAGGGGGTGAGCCCCAGGGCCCGAGCGCAACCAGGACCCTCTGTCCCATTCATTATGAGACAGGAAGAAAAAATTCCCTCTGCCTATTTTTTCCCACCCTTTACATAAATTTATACACCTCTATCCCATCCCTTACTTGTTTTTCCCCTCTAAACTGAAAACTTCCCAATATTAAAAAACCTTCCTCATACAAAGGGAGTAATCTTCCATCATAGGGGAGAAATGAATTTGGGGGGAAATGAGAAATGTTACTTTCATGAACTTCCCAGAAGGGAAGATGAAAAGCTTAAGTGGTTTTATTTATTTCATTATTTAATGTGCTTCTTTCATTCATTACTAGAATAGAACAGATCTGCTTTGAAGGCAGAAGGTCCCAGGTTCAGTCCCCAACATCTCCCGGTAGGTCAAGGGAAAAACTTGGAAACCCACTGTAAAGGTAAAGGGACCCCTGACCATTAGGTCCAGTCGTGACCGACTCTGGGGTTGCGGCGCTCATCTCGCTTTATTGGCTGAGGGAGCCGGCATACAGCTTCCAGGTCATGTGGCCAGCATGACTAAGCCGCTTCTGGCGAACCAGAGCAGCGCACGGAAACGCCGTTTACCTTCCTGCCGGAGTGGTACCTATTTATCTACTTGCACTTTGACGTGCTTTCGAATTGCTAGGTTGGCAGGAGCAGGGACCGAGCAACGGGAGCTCACCCCATCACAGGGATTCGAACCCCCGATCTTCTGATCGGCAAGTCCTAGGCTCTGTGGTTTAACCCACAGCGCCACCCACATCTCACTGTAAGTCAGTGCAAAACAGTGCTGAGCTAGATGAACCACTGGTCTGATCCAAGGCAAAGCAGCATCCAGTTTTCATAAGGGCTATTACATAATATCTGGAATTTCTGCTCCACATTAAGAGAGAGACCAGGGCCCTGCGG